TTCTATGGTCATGCGGCCCACATTGCTATATCCCAAAAGTACACGGAATGCTGTTACCTTCCCACCGAAGTGGTACCCATTTATCTACTCATATTTGCATGCTTTCAAACTGCTAGATGGGCAGGAGCTGTCCTGGGATCTCACCCTGTCACATGGTGCTCAGGTCTTGAACCCGAGCTGTCACTTTCCAGCTGACGAATTCAGCATCTTTAACCACTGAACCATTGTGCCCCTTCGAGGTCAAACTATTTGGTTCCTTTTTTTTTGTTTGTGTGCTTTAAGACAAGACTATTAGGTTAATACAAACTGGAAGTGGAATGCAGCTAATTTATATCTGCCATTTTTTAAAAGAAAAGGGCTGTTTTAAAATTCAATAATGGTTTTGTTTTACAGCCTTTTTAGCATTTCAAAATAGCAGAGGTAATTTTCCCTCTAGTTTTTGCTTTGCTTGGTGGTGGGTTTTTTTTTTGGGGGGGGGGGGGGTTTTCCAGCAAGAAAATTCCCTGTTTGGTTGTCAATTAGTCGTTTTATTAAGAGTCACCAAAGTGGGATGGACCCTGGGTTGTAGTTCAATGTGTCAAACCTGCGTGCTGAGGTGGACTTTAAAGCATGTAAAATGTTCAAAGTACAGAAGAGAAATTTCCCACATTCTCGATTTGGAACAAACATTCTTCCTTTCATCATTTTGTCTCATACTTGATGAAAAAATGGTCCATTTTGGACCAAAAAAACGGCACATTGTTCTGTTTAGTTCTGTTTACAGCTTGGAACAAGAAGGCTCTCTTATTGGTTTAGTTTTGTGTACTAAATGTTTTGCGCACAGCAAAAGCTCCTATACTGGATGCAGGAGCTTCTGTGTTCGTTCCTCCCAAATGTTTTATATGTCTGAAACAGAAATAGTATGCTCAGGGGGATCATAGGATAATGGGATTATCCCACCTAAGTAGGACATGGCATAATTGAACACTTCTCTTCATAAACGCTTCCCTCTCACAAAATGAAAGGTCTAATAATAGGCTTAACTACAGACCTTTCTTTCCTTTTTTAAAAAAACTTTGTTAAATTTCAACAAAAGAAAATATAAAGGAACTGAAAAATAGGAATTACAGAAGCTCAGGGGGGAAAAAAAGCAAAATTAAGAGAACAGAAAAAAGGAGGGAATAGAAAAAGAATAACTTGAGGTAAATTGAGGAGCCAATTTGTGGGGGCAATAAGCTGACTTTGTATAAATATACAAAAGTATGAAGGCTATTGCTTAATGCATTGTAAGCCACCCTGAGTCTCCGGAGAAGGGCGGCATATAAATCAATTAAAAAAAAAAAAACTTCCAATTTTCTCTGGTACAGAAGCAAATATAAAATACATTAATCTCTTACTCTAAAACCAACCATAAAACACAGTGTTTCTATAATCCTAAACAGTTCTGATCATCAAATCCTCAAAATTACACTTTCTTTTCTTTCCGTGTCGTGGAGAAAAGTTCCAAAAAAGATTACCAAGGTAGACAAGGTCTTTTCTTTAATCAAAGGAGACAATTTTGTAGGCCTTTCTACCTCTGTGTACAAAAGTCTCACTGCTGTTGTCATACATAAAAACAAAAATCCATGTTTTCTTTCTTGAACTACAGTTTTTCTGTACAGCTGGATGTAATGTTTTTGGTTCAGAAGCAGAGGCTTAAAACACAGGTGGGCTCTGCCTTTCATTCAGAGGGCACACAGATGGTATTATATGATTCTTCTGAGCACAGTACTGAAAGGAAGAGAATGAGGCATGATATACAGTACTTGGATGTTAAATTATGTCACCTCTTTTTCCCTGCCTCTACCCCCATCCATACTGGATGTACAGATAATCCTTGATTTACAACCTCAATGGAACCCCAAATTTCTGTTGCTAAGTGAAACAGTTGTGAATTCTGCCCCATTTTACGACCTTCCTTGCCACAGTTGTTGTGAATCACTGCAGTTCTTAAGCTAGTAGAATAGAGCCGAGGTGGCGCAGTGATTGGAAGCCTATCCAATTCGGAGTAATTTGTGCTAGTTACTCTAATAGTAATTATAGTACTAAATAGTAATGTGCTAACTCTAACCAAACTGAATTGAAGAAGCTTCTTGGTAGGATGAGAAGCTAAATGTCTTCAAAGAAAAACAAAGACCACTTGCCTTTTGAAAAAGCACCCTTGGGACAACCATGACCTGGGTGACTGAGAATCACCATAAACAACTCTTAACAAAACGTCTAGCCAGTTCCTATTATAGAGTTTTTTTTATTTTTTATCACATGGTAAAGTTGATGGATGTTGGCAATGATCCAGCAGCTTGTATGTTGTTGACTTGTTCCTTGCCTCCTTGTGCTAAGGACTCTTGAAATTACCCTTGAGTTCTAAGTGGAGGATGAATTGATAAAACAAATGTTCTTTGACCTGGATACTTCTTGAGAACACACAGGTGTGTTGAAAGGAATGAGTGATCCTCAAAGCCAGAGGTTTGAAGCTGATATTTTTCTTTATTGAGTCAGTTCAGCCTTTTGGCTCTAGCAAGCACTCCGAGCAATTAACAGCATTTGAAAACGGAAGCAGAATATTCAATTTAAAAATGCACCTTTAAAATTAGGAATGTAAATTCTAAAGTCAAACGAGGTGCATTCTATAGGCAGAGAAAACATAGGTGTTTAGTTCCTCTTGGCAGACCTTTGATAGGGAGGATGACTTCTGCATGTTTTGAAAACCAGATTCGTTCCTACAAAAAAAGGAACTTGGGCCTTAAGCCAACTGAGGCCTTTGAAGGTAGGTACCGATGACTTAAGTTGGGCTTCCTAAGCAGCTAACAGCGTAGAATTACCCTGTTTCCCCGAAAATACGATCTATCCTGAAAGTAAATCCTAGCTTAATTTTTACATGTGCGCCCAATAGAAGCCCTACCCCCCAAATAAGCCCTAATTAAGATCCCACCCATTCCAGAGTGCACGGGTAAAAATTAAGCTACGGTGGGGATGTGGGGTGGTGGAGCTGCCCTACTACTTACTTTGGACAGTTGTAGCCAGGCCTTGCACACACCGACACCTGCCTCCCCGGCCCATTTCTTTTGCAGCCGGCAAGGCTGGCAGGACTTTCCTGAAGGCCTCTGTAGCTGATAACAAAGCTCCGGCTCTGTAAAGCCTTGCCGGCCACAGAAGAAGAAGTTCCTGAAGGCCTCTGACAGTGAAAAGGAGGCCGGGGGTGACGAGCGCAAGTGAGGTTAGTCAGTGGATGATATCCCCCCAAAATAAGACCTGGTGGCTTTTTTTGTGGCAATAAATAAATAAGTAAATAAATAAGACAGGGTCTTATTTTCAGGGAAACATGGCACATTTTTGTTATTTTGTACAACTGCAACTTCCAGTTTGTTTCCAAAGATATTTCCATAAAAGTCCCTATTTCAGTATCTACAAGATTCAATGAGACCTGAGTGTACAGATGTGGGAGTCAAGCTACAAATCATAAAAATACATCTGATGGTTGATTTTATTTATTTATTTATTTATTTTTGTAATGAGTCTATCTCCCAATCCTTGTCTGAATGTTGGAATGAAGATTATAATATCTGAAGATTATGACAGGATCCTCATTCATTTTTTTTGGCTTTCTACCGTACAATCTGCATGTATGAAATGGTATGAAAAATACACCGAAGCAGCTTTATTTTATTAGGGTTGAAATAATGCCTCTCAAGGTTTGGAAAATACTTGAGGCTTACAGCCAGTTTTGTAACTGGTTGGAAAATGACTTTGGTAATCATCCTTTTTTATTGTTGTCTATTACTCAGCCAAGCTTATTCTGCTGTCTCAGCAGATGTTTCAGTAAAAGACACTGCAGAACCATAACTCTTGGGCCTCACACCATTTGAGATAAGCTTGCCAAAGCCTGCTGCGCACGATTTTGTGTAGATGGATAGAAGAGAAGTAGCACCTTCACAAGCCTTTGCAATTTGGAGACATTAGCCTTTACAGGCAGTCCTGGACTTACGGCCACAATTGAACCCAAAATTTATGTTGCTAACCAAAACATTTGTTAAATGAACTTTGCCCCATTTTACACCCTTTCTTGCCACATTTGTTAAGTGAATCACTGCAGCTGTTAAGTTAGGAAGAGGGTTGTTAAGTGAATCTGGCTTCCCCATTGGCTTGGCTTATCAGAAGGGGATCACAGTGATCCCGGGACGCTGCAGCCATCATAATTATGAGTCAGTTGCCAAGCATCTGAATTTGGATCACATGATCATGAGGATGCTGCAGTGGCCGTAAGTGCGAAAAACGGCCATAACTCACTTTTTTAGTGCCGTTGAAGGGTCACTAAACGAACTGTTGTAAAATCGAGGACTACCTGTATTAAGATTTCTCTCTGGAGGAGAGACCACTTCATCATGAGTTTGTAAAATGAAAAACCGAAATCTATAAATTGGTTTGAAAGTCCATAAATCCACAAGAGATGGAATTAAATGTTGTCACCGATCATTGTTAGGCTGGAAATGCTTTTTTGTTTTGGGAAGAATATATTTAAATTTTTTGCTGGAACGTATTCGGAACAGTTCAGATCTTTTAAGTGCCTCATTAGCAAATGCTCTTTTTGAAACTACTTTTAACCTAGCCAGAAATAGTAGAAATGATTGGAACAACATATGCTTGCTTACTACTTGTGACTAGATCAGTGTTTCTCAACCTTGGAAGCTTGAAGATGGGTGGACTTCAACTCCCAGAATCCCCCAGCCAGCGCGCTGGCTGGGGGATTCTGGGAGTTGAAGTCCACCCATCTTCAAGCTACCAAGGTTGAGAAACACTGGACTAGATGTTGGTCACCAACATGAAATAGAAATTCCATCGAGCGCTAGTGTACACACTTCATTTTTTGTTGTTGTTTCATTCCGTTACATTTGATTGTGTGATTTCATGTACAGAACAACATTTTTCTTTTTGCTGTATGTAGTTGGTGCTGTGACTTGTTTGTGCTCATCTCTGTTCTGTAGGCAACTTGCCACTCTCTCCTGAATAAAGCTACCGTAAAAGAAAAAAAGGAAAACAAAAAAGCAGTAAGTTTTGGAGAAGTTTTATTAAGCCATTTCTTTCAAAAGCACACAAACACCCTCTTCCCCACTTTCTGCTTTTGCTCTTCGTTCCCAAAACTCTTTTCCTTCCAACCTCCTTTGACACTCATTGTCAAATCATTCTACTAATTCTGGCACTAAAGACGCTTTTTAAATTGAATTAACACTCAGTTGAAGTGATGCTTGTTTTTTTTAAAAAAAAACCCACAAAAATCTGAATGTGCCTCTCTTCTTCTTTTCCTTCGGAAGGAAATCTCTGCCGCTCCGCAACAGCTTTCCGATAACCCTCTTTGCCAACCATTGCAATGTTAAGGAACTAAACGGGAAATTCTGAAATTAAAGACAAGGAGTGTGGTTGCCTTTGTATTAGTTGGACTGTCTAGATCCGTGATGGCGAACCTATGGCACGGGTGCCACAAGTGGCATGCGGAGCTATATTGGTGGGCACGCGAGTGTTACCCTAGCTCAGCTCCAGCGCACATGCGCACACCAGCCAATTGATTTTCAGGCCTTCCAGTCCCAGCGGAAGTTGGGAAACTGGCTGTTTCTGGCCTCCAGAAGGCCTCTGGAGGAATGGGGAAGGCTGTTTTTGCCCTCCCCAGGCTCCTAGAAAGCCTCTGGAGCCTGGGGAGGGGAAAAAACGGGCCTACCGGGCCCACCAGGCCATTGGGTGCCAAAAGCAAGGAGAAGAATGGGGGTGGGTGGGTGTCACGTGCGCATGCATGGGAGGGCAGGGCGCATTGAATTATGGATGTGGGCACCCGCGACCCCCCCCCGCTTCCCCTGCTTTTGGCACGCGACGGCAAAAAGGTTAGCAATCACTGGTCTAGATCTATCCTAAAGAGATCTCGGTATCCTTTCATTTTTCCCTTGATGGCATTGAAGAAGCCGCTCAGGAAACCACAGGGGTTTTATTATCAAAATGTGAGTAGCAGCAAGTGGAGGGGAGGGGAGTGTTGATTTTGAAGTGCGTGTCAGATAAAGAGGACCTCGTTGTTGTTGTTATGAGGGCCGTGTGGGTGCACAGTTAGTGCATGGTTTCGAAGTTCATCTTTTCTAATGGAACCGATTTTCAAAACTGGAAAGGAATGGGAGGAGTAAACACCGCAGTAATAAAAGCATGACTGTCGGTTATAGTTAGTCCTCGACTTATGACCACAACTGGGACCAGAATTTCCATTGCTAAGCAAGGTAGTTGTTAAGTGAGCCGTGCCCGATTTTATGATCTTTTTTTTTTGCCCTGGTTGTTAAGCGAATCGGTGCGGTTGTTAAATAAATCATGAGGTCGTTGAGTGAATCTGGCTTCCCCCATTGAATTTGCTTGTTGGAAGCTGGGTGGGAGAGTCGCAAATGGCGATCACGTAACACACACACACACACCGGGATGCCACAACCATTTATAAATAGATACTGGTTGCCAAGCACCCAAATTTTGTTCACGTGCCTGTGGGGATGCTACAACAGTTGTAGTAAGTACGAGGACCAGTTGCAAGTCACTTTGTTTAGTGCTGTCGTAACCTCGAACGGTTGCTAAACGAACGGTTGTAAGTCGAGGGCTACCTATATTTTTTTTTCTGCATCCGTTTGGAGGTGGAGTAGGGAACACGGTTGCTAAATGGAGTAACTAAGAAAGTTACTTTCTAACTTAGTTACTTTCTTAGTTACTACTTTCTGACTTTCTTTCCTTGGTCAGGCAAAGAGAAGTGGTCTGGGATCTTTGCAAAGGTGCTGGTTTGCTTTGCCTGGATTTTTTTTTAGAGAGGTTGCTAAGCAAAATGCTGAAATTGTTTCCTGCATTTTAAAAAAATGCATTTTGTACTCCTTTATGACTTTCTATTGCTTAATAAGATTAAACGTCTGGCTACATATGCATTGAATATATCTGAGAGTTTAGAGCAGGGGTCTCCAACCTTGGCAATTTTAAGACCTGTGGACTTCAACTCCCAGAATTCCTCAGCCAGCTTTGTCTTAAAGTTGCCAAGGTTGGAGACCCTGGTTTAGAGTGCCTTGCTTGTGCATTTTGCCCTAAGGAGTTTTATTGATTATGTACCATTCTCTTTGGGGGATGAAAGGGTCTCCCTTCTTCTCTGTGGGGTAGGTCCATGGCATCAATAAGAGTATTGTCAGCTTCCTCCATTTCTGTCTCTCTCTCTCTCTCTCTCTCTCTTAAAAGTCTGGTATCTGATGAGATTTGAATGATGATATGTCCCAAAGATGCTTCTTCAAAAGCCAACTGGATTTTCTTTGGTTTTTCCTCAAAGACGTTTTGCTTCCCATCCAAGAACCTTTTTCAGTTCTGAACTGAAGAAGCTTCTTGGGTGAGAAGCGAGACTTCTTCGAGGAAAAACAAAGTCCCAGTTGCCTTTTGAAAAAGCACCTTTTTGAAAAAGCCTTTGGGACAACCATGACCTGGATGACGGAGAATCTCCATAGATGAGTGATGATATGGAAGATCCAACAAGACTTTGGCTTTTGAGGAGTGGGGGGGCGGGGGCAACCACATGGCCATCTGGATTCTTTGTATGGAGGAGGTCTTTCAATGCCACCTCTGGTAGGTCCTCATTAGTATCATGGATTCTGAGTGTGTTGATTTATCATTTTCTCTCTGTGGTTCTTCCTGTTCAGTCAGTCAAGATAGGAAAAAAGTATGTTGCCTATTTAGCTCATGCTGCTTGCTTGCCCAAATGTTCTCCGGGTTCAGCAAGGTCCACAATTTGCCTTTTGACTTCTAGGTCAATTTTTTAGTGTGGGCCATCTTCTATAACCCTGAATTGTCAGGTTGTGGCCCACTTGCTGAAACATGCCAGTCCCCTTAGAAGCAGGGGTGAAATCCAGCAGGTTCTGACAGGTTCTGGAGAACCGGTAGCGGAAATTTTGAGTAGTTCGGAGAACCGGCAAATACCACCTCTGGCTGGCCCCAGAGTGGGGTGGGAATGGAGATTTTGCAGTATCCTTCCCCTGCCATGCGCACCAAGCCACACCAAGCCATGCCCACAGAACTGGTAGTAAAAAAAAATTGGATTTCACCACTGCTTAGAAGTCCATATTTGTAGACCCTTTTGTCAAAACAAAGTGCTGCTCCCTAGCATCAAACCCATCTTTTGCAATCCCCAAGCCTTTGGATAAGTGTTTGGAATTCTATTGAGTTATTGAGTTTACCTGTTCTCTGAATTAGCAAAGCTAATTCTACACTTTTTATTAGATTTGGAGAATTCTCAGTCCGGCTGGTCTTTGGATAGGAGATTACACAGAAAGTGGGTGCCACCTCGTCTTTGGGCATGGGAAGAAAGGCAGTGATGGATAGTAATGCAGGAACTTCTTTGTATGCGCTGAAATTGCAACTAATGCGGACTCTCCATTCTTTGCACAAATTGCAACTAACATGGGCTATCCAATCTTTGCATAAAGTCTGTTTTTTGCATAAGAATTCTTCATCTTGTTAGGATGTGTAGCAGATCCGGAGACCTGTAATGGGAATGGGAATGGGAATGGGGTGGGCTTTGATCCTGATTACTTACCTACAAGGGACTCCTAGAAGCTAAGATCCAAAACCAGAATCCTGTCCTAAGAGCAGAGGTCTTCAAACTTGGCAGCTTTGTGGACTTCAGCTCCCAGAATTCTCCAGCCAGCATAGCATTCTGGGAGTTGAAGTCCACGAGTTTTACAGCTGCCAAGTTTGAAGACCTCTGCCTAAGAGAGTAGCAAGCTTTTAAGCTTGAAGGTCGTTTATCCCTTTCCAAATCACCTTTGATTGGAAATGGCTCTTTTGAGACCCAAAGTGTCCCAGAAGGATTCAGGACGAAAGAAAATCATTTGAATATATTTATTCTGATCCTTTCCCCTTCCCTCCTCATCCTTCTCTCATGTAAGCCACTCAGAGTCGCTGTATAAGTGAGATGGGTGGCATAGAAATTTAATAAATTAATAAGGGGTCCTTGGTGTTGTCCAAGCTTGGTTGTTTTCTTGCAGATGTTTCATTACCAAACTAAGTAACATCATAAATGGCGATGATGTTACTTAGTTTGGTAATGAAATGTCTGCAAAAAACAACAACAACCAAGTTCAGAGAGTACTAAGGAACCCTCTTCTTAATTCTGAGTTACAAATATTCTCCTCTATTGGGAGACAGACAGACAGACAGATTTTCTTGCCTGTATAGTAAATGCAGTTATTCTCCGACATGAGTGAGTACCATTTTTTTTCACAGAGGTTATGTGTGATTTTTTTTTTTTTTTTATGAATGGGTTCCATTCATGTTTTGTGAAAAGTTGTTGCTATGAGAATCATTCTCTGGTGCTTTAATTGTTATGAACAGAGTGGGTGAATCAATTGGTTATATTAGTGATTTTTTAAATCAGAATTTTAAAATGTTGGGCTCAATATAGAATAACTCCTTTTTTTCCTAATTAGTATATTTTGAAATATCTTCTTAGTTTTATTTTCGGAGATACGAATTGCTCACGCACTGGCTTCACAGTAAGATGTTTGTCTGTATGAAAGCGAATGTAACCCCTGTTGTTAAATCATGCCTCCTCTATACTATTTTCAATAACTTTCTTCCTTTCCTCCTTATAACAATTTGGCTCTTGCCTCTGGAACCTGTTTTAACACAGAAACCATTTGACTACTTGTCTAGCGTCATTCTGAAACAATGACATGTAAGGGAAAGTTGGCCGAAGCATTCTCCTTTATTAAACTGGCTTTTTATCCTACATTTAAATGATGGCTTTCTTAATTTCCATCCTGTGCTGTTTAGGTGGTCAGCCAACGGTTTCCTCAGAATAGCATTGGAGCAGTTGGGAGCGCCATGTTCTTGAGATTCATTAATCCGGCTATTGTGTCCCCGTATGAGGCTGGCATACTGGATAAGAAGCCTCCGCCAAGAATCGAAAGGGGTCTGAAGTTAATGTCAAAGGTGAGAAACTGTCTCTTTTATGCTGGATGGCAGGGAATAGCAAGGATGTGATGGTGGTGGAATTGGGCATTTTGCTTTTATGGAAGAATTAAAATAAATGAGCTCAAGAGATGGCAACCTGCTTGCAGCTCTGAAGATTTGGGTATGATTCTTAAAGCCCCTCCAAAAGTTGACACAGATTGTAATTGTAATAGGTGGCAGAAGTGAAAAATTATTAAATGTAGGATGAATAATTATGTTATATATTCTGTTATATAAACAACAGATCATTCAACAGAAATTACATTCAAATATAGTTTGCCACAAGTTTGACCATTGGATTACAGGTAGTCCTCAGGTTACAATCCCCCACTATTCAAAGTTAAGATGGCGCTGAACGAGGCGGACTTACAACTAGTCCTTGAAGTTCTGGTCATCGCAACATTCTTTGGTCACATGATCATCATTTATAACCTTCCCTGTTGGCTTCTCACCGGCAAAGTCAGTGGGGAAGCTGGCAGGAAATCGTTAATTGTTCCTTGAGGTCCCTCCCACCATTTTTTCTCCCAAGGCGTTCCTTGATGCCATTTTTTTTTTTAAAATTTTTATATGCCGCCCTTCTCCGGAGACTCAGGGCGGCTTACAATGCGTTAAGCAATAGCCTTCATACTTTTGTATATTTTATACAAAGTCAGCTTATTGCCCCCACAAACCGGGTCCTCATTTTACCCACCTTAGAAAGGATGGAAGGCTGAGTTGACCTTGAGCTTGGTGAGAATTAAACTTGCAGTAATTGCAGTCAGCTGGATGTTAAATGCTGCCTTAGTAGGCATTAGCCTCCTACGCCACTCAGGCTCCATGGGGATCTCAGACTCCATAGCACCTGCCCATGTCACCTACCTGAACACAATCTGTAGCATCAGCCTGTGGTACCTGCCTACCTAGCAGCACACTCTAAGCGGTGTACAGAGTCAGCATATTGCCCCCAACAATCTGGGTCCTCATTTTACCAACCTTGGTTGGTAAAGGTTATAAAACTGAGTCAATCTTGAGCCGGTCAGGATCGAACTCCTGGCAGTGGGCAGAGTCGGTCTGCAATACTGCATTCTAACCACTATGCCACCACGGCTCCTCCTTGAACTTTATAGGTCCTGCCCACAGTACCCACCCACCTGTAGTTCTTGTCTGTTGGCCTGCTTGCCCTTGGTGCAGTTTCAATACCTCTTCCCATCTTGCAGTCACATGAGGTCCTTGCCTAACAATGGCAAAAGGGACTGCAGAGATTGCCCTCACTAAGCAATCCATTCACACGATGTTATACTTTATTGTTGTGACCCAGGCCCAAGTAAGTAGTAGGAAAATCAGTCAGTGAAAAAAACAAACTTTATTCGAACAGCTGAAAATTACTTCATTCCCAGCGTCGTTTTTTTTTGTTTTTTAAAATTTGATTTATATGCCGCCCTTCTCCGGAGACTCAGGGCGGCTTACAATGCGTTAAGCAATAGCCTTCATTCTTTTGTATATTCTTTTGTATATTTTATACAAAGTCAGCTTATTGCCCCCACAAACTGGGTCGTTCAACTAAATTAAAGCAAATTCCTGCCAACACAAATTCCTCAGTCCTATCGCAAACCTTGGTCCAATTAGGCAAACTGCCAAAGGCCTTTCTTGGCAAACGTTCAGAAGTCACAGATACAAAAATAAATCCAAGACGTAGACAAAGAAGAAGACGAAGCTACCAACGTTGTTTTCCAACAAAGAGCCCAAACGCCGTTGCTGGTCTGTTTTAAGCCTTATGGGAGGGGCCAATCATCTCTTGGCCCTACTCCCGAGTTGTCTTCTTTGCTTGAGCTGCTCTTGCCTTCTGGCAGCTCTTCTCATGTGTGCATTAGGAACAGGCTCCTCCTGTTCCTCTGCCTCACTCCTATCATTCTCTGGAGGCTCTGGAGTCTGCACCTCACTCCCCGATGGCCCTGGCCCCATCTCTGCCTCTGACGCAGAGCCCTCATCCGGGCCTTCCCCAGCCTCCAGGACTGGCTCATGTTCTTCCTCAGCCTCATCGCTGTCCAACTCCACTGCCAGCTCCGCAAGCTGCTGGCGGACCACAACATTTATAACCACATCAATTAATGATGGAAATCCTGATCCCAATTGCTGTCATAACCCAAGGACAGCATGCCCTGAAGTATGCTTCTTTGCCCAAATAAAACACGTCTGCATAATCAAACTTTCAACAATCTAGTGTAGGGGTCTCCAACCTTGGCAACTTTAAGCCTGGAGGACTTTCAACTCCCAGAATTCCCCAGCCAGCTGGCTGGGGAATTCTGGGAGTTGAAGTCCTCCAGGCTTAAAGTTGCCAAGGTTGGAGACCCCTGATCTAGTGCAGACTCCGTTGTGTTGGACTTTCCTACACAGAGGTGAAATTCAAATTTTTTTACTACTGGTTCTGTGGGTGTGGCTTGTTGGGCGTGGCAGGGGAAGGATACTGCAAAATCTCCATTTCCATCCGACTCCAGAGGAAGGATACTGCAAAATCTCCATTCCCACCCCACTCCTGGGGGAAGGATATTACAAAATCTTCATTTCCACCCCACTCCAGGGGAAGGATACTGCAAAATCTCCATTTCCACCCCACTCCTGGGGGGAAGGATTGCAAAATCTCCATTCCCACCCCACTCCAGGGGAAGGATATTGCAAAATCCCAATTCCCACCCCACTCCTGGGGCCAGCCAGAGGTGATATTTGCCAGTTCTCCGAACGACTCAAAATGTCCACTACCGGTTCTTCAGAACCTGCTGGATTTCACCCCTGTTCCTAGGCCCTTAAGCAGTTGGTTGTTTTCCTGCTGACAAGTGATGTCGGGAGTTCAGTACATGGGATAGGCATCAGATTGGGGAAGGCTGCTTCTAACTAGTGAAGCTGTTCCTAGCCTGAGGCTGTTTTAGGAGAAATGGGCATTTGATGGAATTTCGCTATATGCCGATGCATCCTGTTACATTCATACTACCAAATATCTTAGATTAGAATAAATCTTCTGCAATACTTGGCATGTAAGTTTAGAAAGGAAACTTCTTCAAATGCGGTTTGCATGACTCACTCACTCTATCGGTTTCTTTTGTTCAGGTACTTCAGAGCATCGCTAACCATGTCTTGTTTACAAAGGAGGAACACATGCGGCCTTTTAATGACTTTGTGAAAAGCAACTTTGATGCTGCAAGAAGGTAAGCCAGTGAGAGTGTTTTGATTTTTTTTGAAGCAAGTTTTGCCCGTATAGTTTTTCAAGCCAGAGCCAGAGTACAAGCTAGAGGCAGGTAAATGAGTCCCAGTATACACCACTTGAATACTGCTGAGATTGACAAAATCACCCCCCCAGTCCATAGCAAAGAGCAGCTTTACTTGGAACAGCTTCCATCTTAGGAGGATACCTTTAATACCATCAAACAACATCTGCTTCTCCCAGGTTATTGGGAAGGACTCGAGAGGCGAATAAAAATGCCAAAAATGCCACCTGCCCAGCCAGCAAACGCTGCCCCACTGCCCCGTGTGCGGATGTGCGTCAGTGCCACGTGCTGGAGGGCTGGGGCCGTGCAAGAAACCCGCTCGGGCAGGGAGGGAGGGAAGCCCCTGCCTCCCTGTCCTGGTGAAGACTCCGCCCTGAGTCTTCGGAGAGGGGCGGCATACAAATTGAATTAATAAATAAATTGAATTAATAAATAACAGCTCTGCTCCCCTAGGAAGCGAGTCCCGGGATCCCCTCTCCATGTCTTTGGGCACGCGAGCCGTCGCCCGTTGCTCTTCCGGTGCACCAGCCAGCTGGGTTTCACATGCGCAGAAGCGCCAGAAACCGGAAAAGCAGCTGCATGCTGGGAAGATGATGTTCCAGTTTCTGGCCCATGCATGTACACCGGCTAGCTGGTTTTTGCGTGCGCCTGCGTGCCAGAAACCAAAAGACCATCTTCCCGGGGCACTCATGCACACCAGGAGCTGCTCTTCCGGTTTTCGGCATTCCCATGCATGTGAAGACCAGCTGGCCAGCGTGGCAGAACCCGGAAGAGCAACGGGTGACGGCTCATGTGCCTGGAGAGATGGGTCTGCGGGCCACTTCCGGCACGCGTGCCATAGCTTCGCCATCACGGGACTAGAAGATCTTCCAGGTCCCTTCCAACTCTGTTATTCTGTTAAAAAGAAGTTGGGTTGGTTAGTTCACATTATTGACTTCTGTTGGAAAGTTCTTGATGCTGAACCCAATTCAAGTCCTAGTGATCCATATCCTCATTGTTTTTGTAGATGCTTTGATAAGAAAGGCACAGTGTCTTCTGTTTCTCTGTAGGTTTTTCCTTGACATTGCCTCAGATTGTCCAGCTAGTGATACAGTCAATCACAGCCTCTCTTTCATCAGTGATGGCAATGTGCTTGCACTACATCGTTTGCTGTGGAACAATCAAGAAAAGATCGGGCAGTACCTTTCCAGCAACAGGTAATAATAGTACCTGACTAGGGGTAAAAAGGCTGAGAAATAGCACTTAGATATATATACTGCTTCACAGTGCTTTTACAGCCCTCTCTAAGCAGTTTACAGAGTCAGCCTCTTGCCCCCAACAATCTGGGTCCTCGTTTTATCGATCTCGGAAGGATGGAAGGCTGAGTCAACCTTGAGCCTGTGAGACTCAAACTGCCAAACTGCTGGCAGCCAGTAGTCGGCACAATTAGCCACAGTACTGCATTCTAACCACTGCGCCACGATGGCTCATGGACACAAGAAAGGACATAATGCATGTAAAAATAAAAATTCATTAAATCAGCAGAGAATTTACAGTTGTGATAGCATGAAAATTAATTATTTCATTGACTAGTTGAATATATCCAACTAAAATGACTTGTATCATCTTGAGAAATAATTATACATATTACAAAGTGCTAATTGGAAGCCTCCCAGGGCCATTTCCTTACGAACCTATAGCAAATAAATTCAATCAATCATTTACCCAATAGTATTGAGCATAGAGCAGACCCAGAGTGTAGATAAAATGGAGTGAATTGAACCCTATGGGAAGTTTAGGAATCTTTAATTGAGATTTGCTTTTTTGTTATAAAAATGTAACGTGGAATAGTACTTAATTATTCCTACGCATCAGTAAAACTGGGAATGGAGGAGGAAGAGTTGCCACTTAATACTAGAAATGTGGCCTTTAAATGTAGTGAACAAGCAGGCTTTTAGTGATTTTTTTAAACTATATAAATAGTATTTTGCATGCTATGTTTTTCAGTCTAGCAACTTTAAGGTATGTGGACTTTTAACTCCCAGAACTCCATGCTGGATGGGGAATTCTAGGAGTTGAAATCCACACATCTTAAAATTGCTAATACTGAGAAACCCTGACTTACAGTATAGGTAGTCCTAGACATACGACTGGTTGACATCCCCCCCCCAAATCATTGTCACGAGTCAAGGACTACCTGTATAACATGTAGTTGTCTATAACAACTTGCAGTTTGATAAACATTACATCCCTCAAGCTTCTAGACACAAACTAGACACAAGAACAGTTTTTTCCCAAACTGTTAAACAAATAATTCCCTCAACACTGTCAAACTATTTACTAAGTCTGCACTACTATTAATCTTCTCATCTTCTCAGCGTTCCTATCACCCATATCCTTCCACTTATGACTGTATGACTGTAACCTTGTTGCTGGTATCCTTACAATTTATAGTGATACTAGCTGTACCCGGCCACATGTTGCTGTGGCCCAGTCTGGTGCTTCCGCTGGGCTAAAAGAGCAAAGCTGAAGTTCCAAACTCTCCACGAACATTTGGTGGGCATGGCCAACTCGCCGTCACTCACTTTCATCAGTCACATGACAGCCCCTGAGCCACGCCTACCCAGCTGGTGATTAGGGCAGAGAACCGGTTGCTAAAAAACAATGGGAACCACAAAATCTTCCCTGTCTCCCCCCTCTCTCTTTGTATCTCTCTCTGTCTCTCTCTCTCCCCTGTCTGTATCTCTCTTATGTCTCTCTCTCTGCCCCCCACTCTGTATCTCTCTATGTGTCTCTCTCTCCCACCCTTTCTCTCGGTATCTCTGTATGTGTCTCTCCCCCTCCCCCCGTCTCTCTGTATTTCTCTATGTCTTTCTCTCCCTCTCTCTGTTTATCTCTGTCTCTGGCCCGGCCTCTTCTGCATCCCCCGCCATCGCCCTTACCTTTTCAGGCCAGGCCTTCACAGCTCTCCGCACCACAGCAGAAACTCGGGGGCCCCCTCTGTCCTCCCTACACAGATGTTCTCTGGGGGCTCAACAGGGAGACGCATAGCAGGGAAGGGAAGGGAAGGGAGGGAGGGAGGGGGTGCGGCGGGGGTTCGAGGCTGGTTTGGGGCTTCCTAGCCGAAGGAAGAAAGTGGCAAAGCCAGGAGCCACGCACACCCCACTGGACCCCTGCTGCACAGTTCTACTCCCCTGCCTGCCAAGGGCAGGGGAATGATTAAATCCCCCGCTCTTTCAGGCGAAATAAAAGAGGGCCTGCCATCCTCCCTCCTGCCCGTTTCCGCCCCCCAAAGCCTCCCCGGAGCCCCTTTTCTGCCAGAGGCCGAAATTTTCGTGTAGGCTCCATGAACTGCCAGAGCACCCACCTGGGAATCAAAGGTGGCGCTGGTCAAAGGCGACCCCGAGGCTCCAGTTGCCTCCATCTCCCGCTCACCGACCGGATTCGCATAGCGCTGGTTAGTGGCTGGTCTTTCTGACCTCGGGACCCGTGGTAGCGCCGGGCCAGGCGCGATTCGGGCCAGGTGAGGGACGGAGGTTTCCCGCTCGGTGGACCCAAGCAGCCTCGTTGCCAGGTGTTCTTTGGAGGGAGCCCCGAGAGCGGCTGGCGAGGGGGATGGGCAGCAGCAGTGGGCGAGGCTAGTTTGCGGGGTGGCCGGGGGAGGGGGAGATCAGAGCCAGGCTTGGGCGGGCCCTGCCCAGCCCTAGAAACACTGGCTGCGAGGGCTTCCCGGCGGGGAACCGGTTGCCTTCCTGCCGAGCCTGGTGGCAGGATATGGCCCTCGGGCATCTCTGCCTTCCAAATGCTCAGTTTCTTGGAAGCAATATGGAGAGTCTAAATATAAGGAGCAGAAATCTGTTGAGCGTAATCAGGGCTGGGAGGCTGCCATGTTGTTTTTACGTCCAGCAGATGGCGCTGTTTTTCAATGTTTTTCAATGTTTGTCAATGTCTTCCAATGTTTTCCAATGTTTTTCATGTTTTTATCTGTCAGAGGTGTGACATGTATATAATATAGGTATATAAAAACACGCCCGTAGTCGAATCCAAAGTTGTGTCAAAATTTGAAAGCAATCGGTGAAGAACTTTCGGAGATGTGCGGTTATGTACAAACGGACATTTACATTTTTATTTATATAGATTGTTTCCTGATTGCTTATTTGTTCCCTATGACTATCATTAAGTGTTGTACCTTATGATTCTTGATGAACGTATCTTTTCTTTTATGTACACTGAGAGCGTATGCACCAAGACAAATTCCTTGTGTGTCTAATCACACTTGGCCAATAAAGAATTCTATTCTATTCTATTCTATTCTATTCTATTCTATTCTATTCTATTCTATTCTATTCTATTCTTATATCCCTGAATTATAATCCTCCTCTAGGGACCACAAGGCTGTTGGAAGGCGACCGTTTGACAAGATGGCAACTTTGCTTGCATACTTGGGTCCTCCTGAGCACAAGCCAGTGGCAGACACCCAGTGGTCCAGTATAAACCTCACTAGCTCCAAGTTTGAAGAATTTATGACAAGGTAAATGAATTCAAATGTTTGCTGGCTTGTTGTGACTTAATAAGCTCTGCAGGGATGGGCAAAGTATTCCCTCTCAGATGTTAAATGGGAACTCTCAGCAGCTAAGGTACTCCTAATGCAAGTGATATAAATAAATGCAATTAACATCTTGTATAGATTCAACAGATGCCTCATGTTAACGTACCCTTCTCTCCTTGAATGCTATTGTAATTTTATTTTAGATTCTTAATCATTAAATGGGAAGCTGGTGTACTGCAAAGCAAGCAAACATCTTTCATTCCAAAGATCCTTTAAGGATCAGGCCTTAGCAGAATTCTTAGAAAATAAAAAAGGATAGGCAGCTGCAACAGAATATTATCTGTGAAAGCTGGCTTACTTTGCCTCAAAAACAGACCATGATAACGGGGTGGTGGAGGAGGCATCTTGGGCTTCAGCACAGCCTAATTAGCACAAGTTGATTGTCCTTTGGATCCCTCCCGACTCTCAGCTCTCAGCTGTTTCAGGCTGCAGGGATTGCCATTGCCTATTGCTGCGCGGGCCTCTGCTGCTTGCCGAAAGGAGGTAAATTGCTGGGAGCAGATTTTTTTTTTGTGCTAATCAAGCTATGCTGAAAACGAAAATGAAAGTAAAGCAGGCTGTTTGCTGTAATGAGGCAAAATTGCTGGGAGGCAGAGGCAGATTTCTTTTTCTTGTTCTCCTCACCAAAAAAAGTAGATGCGTCTTATAGTCCGGAGCGTCTTATACTCTGAAAAATACGGTAGATCCACTAGCCGCAAAGTTTAGGAAATCTCTGATAACAATCACACCAAGGGTAAATTGCTGCTTTCCTGCCTATATTTGTGTCCTTAGGCACCAGGTACACGAGAAAGAAGAGTTCAAAGCCTTGAAAACCCTCAACATTTTTTACCAAGCTGGGACGACAAAAGCTGGCAACCCTGTCTTCTATTACATTGCTCGCCGGTAAGACAGTTTTCTCTTCCTCCTTAAATCAAGACTACCGAGAATTGGTGGGACGTGCAGGCCCAGTTTTTGCTTCATTTTGAAGAGTGACCATTGTTTTGCCATTTTGTGGTGTTTTCTTTGTACTCTGAAAGTGTTAGCAAGATGAGGTGGGCATAACAGTCGTCCTCGACTCAACAGCCATTCATTTAGCAACCGTTTGGATTTAAGGTGGCACTGAAAAAAAGTGATTTATGTGGTCTTCGCATTTGCGAGCATCCCCATGGACACATGATCAAAATTTGTGAGCATCCCCATGGACACAAAACATGATCAAAAGGAGCCTTGGTGGTGCAGCAGACTAAAGCGCTGTTAAGTAGCACTTAGCTGCCAGCTGCCTGCAATTACTGCAAGTTCAAATCTCACCAGGCTCAAGGTTGACTCAGCCTTCCATCCTTCCGAGGTAGGTAAAATGAGGACCTGGATTGTGGGGGCAATAAGCTGACTTTGTATAAAAAAAGAACACCGCTTAGGGGGGGCTGAAAGCCCTACTAAGCAGGTATATACAAAAGTATGAAGGCTATTGCTTAACCCATTGTAAGCCGCCCTGAGTCTCCGGAGAAGGGCGGCATATAAATCGAACCAATAAATAAATCGAACCAATAAAATTTGGGGCGCTTGGCAACCATCCTGTGTTTAGAACGGTTGCAGCATCCCAGGGTCATGTGATCGCTATATGCAACCTTCCCAGCCCCTTCTAACAAACAAAGTCAAATGTGGGGAAGCTGCATTCACTTAACGACCACATGATTCTCTTTAACAACTGGAGGGATTCTTCCTTTTTTTTTTTTTTTTGGGTAAAAAAAAATGGGCACAACTTATTTAACAACTGCCTTGCTTAGCAAAGGCAATTCTGGTCCTGATTGTGGTCATAAATCGAGGACTCCCAATGTGTTTGTACACAAAAGTGTACCGTCAAGTGTTTGTAATATTAGCCGTGAAGGACAAGGATCTTGTTTGCCATTATCTGGTGGCTTTTTTTGCTGAGGCGCATATTTTGTTCGAGGGATTCTCTGTGTGTATGGCTGGGCAGTAAATTTCTTTCAAAACAACAAGATGTGCACCTTAGATCAGCTGCCCCCAATCTTTGGGGCACCAGGGACTGGTGCCATGGAGAGAGGTTTTTCCGTGGATCGGGGGGGGGGGGGTTGCCTGCATCCCACAGATGGGGCTTTGTTTATTTGTGCAGACCGGTTGCTGGCATGCTGTGGACTGGTTAGATTGTACAGGTAGACCTCCACTTACAAAAGTTCATTAAGTAACCATTCAGAGTTACAACGGCACTGAGAAAAGTGACTTCTGACCTTTTTTTCACAGTTACGACCTTTGCAGCATCCCCACAATCATGTGATCAAAATTCAGATGCATGGCAACTGGTTCATACTTACGACCGTTGTTTCGTCCCTAGGTCATGTGATCAACTTTTGCGACCTCCTGGCAAAGCAAAGTCAAGGGGGAAGCCAAATTCACTTAACAACCGGGTTACTAACTTATCAACTGCAGTGAGTCACCGAGGCAAGAAAGGCCGTAAAATGGGACTAAATTCACTTAACAAATGTCTCACTTAGCAACAGGAATTTTGGGCTCGATGGTGGTCGTAAGTTGTGGACTACCTGTACTTTTTGTGTTGAAATGTACACATAATATCTAGAGCAAGGGGAAAACCTCACTGCTTTGGTGGTGATATAATTTAAAATAATTTTTATCGTCGGTGTCAAAACCAGTTTTATTTTCAGGTAGCCCTCACTTAACGATCGGTTGCTTGTTCGAAGTTACAGCGGATCCTTAAAAGCTACTTATGACCCGGTCCCGAAGTTATGGCTGTGCAGCCCTTACAACTGACTGCAGGGACACTGCAGCCCCCTCCCTCCCCCCACCCCACACAGTCACCCATCTAATTTCATCCCCCACATTGGCTACCCAAATCCTCCATCTCACTTACTTTTCATAGGTCTCCAGAGTTCAGGGGATCAGAGTCAGGGGTGGGTTCTACTTACCTTTACTACTGGTTCACAACAGGAGCACGTGTGCGCATGCGTAGATCGTCCATTATGATGTCTGGGCGGGTGGGCGGAGCCTTCCACCGCTTTTACTACCGGTTCGCAAGAACCGGACAGAACCAGGAACAATCCACCATTGGTCAGAGTAGGAAAGGAGGGCATTAAATTGTGGCTGCTTGGAAAATGTTGGCCATTGTGGGATGTGGCTGCGATTCCAGCAACGGAGCCTTGCAGGATTCCACAGCGTCATTGCTAGGGCTGCATGGCGCCATCCCGTAAGTGCCCACTCCGGCAAGGGATGGCCACTTGTGCGATGGCACTGCGATTCCAGCTGTGGAGAAGCTTGTTTTGCTAACACGAGCAAAGCGAAGCAGGCTGCTCTGTTGCTGTGATTGTGGCACCGTCCCACAAGTGTCAGTCATTTTCCAAGCGAGCGTTTCCGGGATCGCGCCACATGGCTGCCCCACAAAAGGATCGGTTGTGCTTTCCGCACATGGTCTTCACATTGCTGCAGAAAGCAGCAGAGCTCTGGAGATTTTCAAAAGGTAAGTGCGGGATAGGAGTGGAAGTCCTTCGGAGACCTTGTGAGCGACCAAGGCCTGCAAGGAACTCTCTCTCTGTGTGTGTGTGTGTGTGTGTGTGTGTGTGTGTGTGTGTGTGTGTGTGTGTAAAAGGCCTGTGGGGACCCAGCAGGGGTAGGGAAAATAGGTCCAAAGACTGTGGGGACTCCTAGGGGTGGGTAGCAGATCACAAGCTGTTTCAGAGGGGGGAGGTTCTCTGAAGCCTCCAGGGGCCTCCCCCATCCCGGAGGCACCCCATATTCCACTCAACCCATGTGTTCATTTAACAACCACATCAGGCAGAGCAGGAGGTGGGGGTTATTAAGCCAGGCATTCTTGTGTAACATCTCTTACCACTTGCAGCCATAATGGGCATGCTTCACTACGGTCCTAAGTCAAGGATCACCTGTCCATAAACATCTACGAAATAACATGCTTCTGTAGCTGTAGTGAACCACTTTCGTTGTATCTAAGATGTACAATGACAATAAAGGCTGTACTATACTATGTGGCAAAGATGATCTGTACCTTACCTGTACATTATTGTTAGGAGTGTGTTGTTCTTTTATTGTCTTAAATGTTTAATAGAAGTGCAGGTTGTCCTCGGCTTACAATAGTTCACTTAATGACTGTTCAAAGTTACAACATCACTGAAAAAAGTAACTTATGATCATTTTTCACACTTACAATCTTCGTAGCATCCCCAGGCCCATGTGATCAAAATTCAGATGCTTAGCAACTGACGTGTGTTTATGATGATTGCAGTGTCCCAAGGTCACCTGATTTGAACTAACCCTAACCTTTTGACAAGCAAAATCAATAGGGAAGCCAGATTCATTTAATAACTGTGTTACTAACGTATCAACCATGGTGATTCACTTAACAACTGTGGCAAGAAAGGAGGTAAAACTTTCAGGACCACCTCCTACCGGCCTCCCACCGCCCAATGCGCTCACATAGGACTGCCCTCCTCCGGGTGCCATCAGCCAGACAATGTCGGCTGCGGGCGCCCAGGATGAGGGGGTTCTCTGTGGCCGCACCGACCCTCTGGAACGAGTTACCCACTGGGCTCCGGACGGCCCCCGACCTCCGCTCTTTCCGCAGTGACCTGAAGACATGGCTTTTTCAGCAAATCTTCTGATCTGTTTGGGAGCTATAGTTTTAATTTGGGGATTTTAATTGGATTTTTAGTATTATTTATTGTTTTGTTTTATTGGTGTGAGCCACCCTGAGTCCTTTGGGAGAAGGGCAGCATATAAATATTATCAAATAAAATAAATAAAATGGAGCAAAACTGACTTAACAAATGTCTTACTTAACAAAAGAAATTTTGGACTCAGTTGTGGTCGTAAACCGAGGACCACCTATATTTGTTCTTTAGCTAAGTCAGGTTTGGGTAGCAAGCTATGTGTCAGATAGCTACTGCTGGCCAAATATCATACTTGTGCTATCACTGGATAGATTGGGGTTGATTGGTTGCATGCTGCCTTGCAGAAATTGAATGTATTTTTCCTGGGATTGTTATTTTGATGGATTTTCTTGAAACAATGTTCACAGATCTCAGAACTGCTAGTTTTTTATTCCCTCTCCTCCCCCAAATAATTCATGAGAAAAATACATTTGTAAGCAGTTTTTTTTTTAATATCAGATTTCGTTTAATGTAAGACGCGCTACATAAAAGCCTTGATTGAGTCCTTCTACTGTTTTTCAAAATAGTCCATCCATGACACAGATCTTTCAGTTTTGTCGATGCGGCTTTTGATTCTGTAGCCCAGGTTCTGGTCAAATCAGCTTTCCTCTAGATAAAGCCTACTTAATGCAGCAATTTTCCATCATTATATTTAAAGATGTTCCATTCGTTTCAACAATTAATAACAATAATTTAGCCTACTGTCTCCATTTACCATCACACTGGGAAAATTCATTTAAAATATTAAAATTTAAAAATCACACGTTGTTGTTGTGGATTTGCTAACAAAGCAACACGCACACATCAGAAGGACAAGATTTGTCAGATTGAGACAGATTAATTTTTCCTGACTTTGATTTACAATTCCTCTAATAAACAGGCTCTTTTAAAACTTACGTTGAGAGACAAAGAAAATGCATAAAGATGAAGCAATCGAAATGAGAGAGAGAGCAGGCGTAAGAACGCTGCTGTGTGACTGAGCTGAGGCTTGAGTTTGCTTTGTAACAGCCTTTGCTGTGACATTGTCAGCCCCTTGTGCAGAAGCGGTCCAGAGAAGTTCGCTCAGGATTGCAAGCATCACCACAGGCCACAGCCATTTCATCTGCCTCTTCATCCTGTATTTGGAACAGTGAACAGTATTTGTAACAGTGAATTCACTCAAGCTACTATAAGAATGGCAAAAAATTAAATATCGTACACCCAAAACAGAGCTCTGATTAAATGTAGTGGGAGAATATCTAGACCAGGGTTTCCCAAACTTGGCAACTTTTAAGATGTGTGGACTGCAGCTCCCAGAATTCACCAGCCCACACATTTTAATGTTCTCAAGGTTAAGAAACTTTGGCCTAAAATGTCAAGCTGTAATGGAATATGGGAAGGACCTTGAAGTAACAGAAAAAGAGAGTTGGAAGGGACCTTGGAGGCCTTCTAGTCCAACCCCCTGCTCAAGCAGGAGGCCCTATATCATTTCAGACAAATGTTGGCCAATCTCTTCTTAAAAAACTCCAGTGATGGAGCACCCACAGCTTCTGAAGGCAAGCCCTTCCATTGATTAATTGTTCTGTCGAGAAATGTCAAGACGGACCCCCACAACTGAGCAAATGTCTGTGAAAGACACTTAGAAAAAATCTGCCCTAACTAATGAAATAGTAAAAAGAGAGAGTGGGCGATTTGCACTTTCAGACTTGCAAGATTCTCTTAATGTACTGTAACTTTATAATCAAATAGAATTCACTCATCTGGTTGTGTTCCCTGTCTGGTCTATATGGAAGGCTGATATGAGTTTATTCACTTTTCTGGAATCTGCTAGTGAAATCTAACTTTTAAATGTTTTCTGGATTACCCTTGTCCATACCCGTAGGCAATAAATTAGGACTGCCACAGACGTGTGCTAATGAAAGCTGCCAATCACAGTCACTCACACCCTTGTTACCTCCCGGCTGGACTACTGTAATGCTCTCTACATGGGGCTCCCCTTGAAGAGCACTCGGAGGCTCCAACTGGTCCAGAATGCGGCCGCGCGGGTAATTATGGGCGCAACTCGTTGTGCCCATGTAACACCTCTCCTGCGCGAGCTGCACTGGCTCCCAGTGGTCTTCCGGGTGTGATTCAAGGTGCTGGTTACCACCTTTAAAGCGCTCCATGGCTCAGGACCTGGGTACCTACAAGACCGCCTTCTGCCACCGATAGCCTCCCACCGACCAGTTCGCTCCCACAGAGAGGGACTCCTCAGGGTGCCGTCGGCCAAATTATGTCGGCTGGTGACACCCAGGGGAAGAGCCTTCTCTGGGGGGGGCACCTGCCCTTTGGAATGAACTGTCCCTGGACATACGCAAGATTTCTGACCTCCGAGTTTTCCGCTGTGCTCTTAAGACCCTGCTCTTCTGACAGGCAGGGCTAGCTTCATAATTGAGTTTTAAATTCGGAATTCTTAAATTTTGGAGTTTTTTAGCTAATTGGTCTTGAATGTAATACTTTTAATAATTTTTAAATTTAAATTTTGATATTTGTATTGTGTTTTTACCTGGCTGTACACCGTCCCGAGTCCTTCGGGAGAGGGGCGGTATAGAAATAAAATTATCCTTATCCTTATCCAATCAACTAATTTTTTTGTTTCCTCCCAAGTTGATATTTTATGATCATTGAGCATTCTCAGATTTCATTGATGCTTTAGGGAAGTTGTTTCTGTGTATGTGTGTTTGCTTTGCCTATTGATATGGATGGAAACACTTTGGCTCTATAAAGTTCCGTACTTGGACAATGATTTCATTGCTCGCATTCCGGGTAACGATGTCCTCCCACACACACACACAAATGGCTCAATTCTATGGGAATGTTCCTATCTTGTCCTGCGCCGCCTCCCTCAAAAAAAAAACCCAACGCTTTTTCTCCAGCAGTGTTTTCTTTACCTTGCTGAACATTTAAATGAGAAAATTTTACAGAAACATTGGAATAGAAAACAGAACAATTGGGGCAGTTATTGTATTAGAAGATTTAAATCCTGCTTTTCAAATAGGCATCCAGTTGGTTGGAGCGATACTACTGGAGCAGAAGGGGATAACACTGCAAGAAATACTCCATTGATGCTTCACAAGTTGACTCAGCAAAGCTTTACCTATTTGTATCTTAATTTTTGCTCTTGATTAGGGACCCTGAAGCAAATTTTAGGGTAAATGCACTCTACTAAAAAGCTAAAAAAAAATAAAATAAAATAGTAAACTGCAAATGCATCTAATTAACAGGTTAAACATCAGATGTTTAGCTTAATGTTTCAAATAATTAATGAGGGAGGCATTTGGACTTCTGGGAAGGGAATGTAAGTCAGGGTGTTAGAACCAAGTTGCGGAACTCACAACATGTGTCATATAAATCATCATGCTTTAATATGTTTATTTAGTATTAAATTTCCAAGCCACCCATCCCACTGTGGTGATTCTAGGCAACTCAGAATCACAATTAATTGAGACTTCCCTAGAAAATTATTGAAACTGCAATTCCAAAATCTGTCATACAACACGTTGTTTGGAAATTTTGGGAATAAGTAAATCCCATTAGATCTTCAGGTTTAGTAGGTCTCCTGTTTGCCTTAACCTGGACTTTCTTGTGGGGGTTGGCATCCTTTTCCCCCCCGGTGTTTCTGAACTTTGGCGATGTTAAAATGTATGGACTTCAATTCCCAGAGTTCCCCAGGATATGCCTGGGTACATGTAGAGTAATTAATGAATAAATTGAGTCATTGGAGAACTGCAGGACTAATTTGTAAGAATTTATATTTTGCATTTGCCTCTGTAGTTTTAGCTCATTAGATGCATTGACTCATATTTCCATCTGAATGCCACTGTTCTAAAACTGCAGTAAGGGGTTTTTCTTAGGGACTTAATTTACACATAAAATTCCATCATCATCGCCTCCACCACCAAGAGCCTATCTTTCAAGATCATTTTCTTAAGTACTATCTATTTATTTAATCAATTTAATCCCATACCTGTTCTCAGTTTCAGGTGCTTGTGATCGGAATAAAATCCAGAGAAGCCTCCGAGATACTGGTTGCATCTGATAGTTGTTGACTAAGTTCTGCCCCTTAAATAAAGCTTCAGATTGATGAGGTAATCATAAATCCCACCCAGTGATTGGCTGTTGCACTTTGCAAATACGTTTGTGAACAGTTTACCTGGGTAACAAACATAAAGTAAATGTCAATGGAGAAAGATAATGTCCTCTGCTTTGGAATTTTTTTCAAAAAAGTTTGTGGCTTGAAAAGGGGAAGGTAAGAATAGTGATGTTTCAGCACATGCCTGTACATGCTTATGATTACTTTTTGAAGATGCAGAATTTCAGAGCGTGGTCTAAAAATAGCTTTCAGGAAAGTTAGATGAACAAATACAGGTAGTCCTCGTTTTACGACCAACAATTGAGCCTAAAATTTCTGTTGCTAAGTGATACATTTGTTAAATGAGTTTTGCCCCATTTCACGACTTTTCTTGCCACAGTTGCTAAGTGCCCATTTGCTAAGTGCAGTTCTTAATACGGTTGTTAAGGGAATTGGGCTTCCCCATTGCCCTTGCGTGTCAGAAAAAGGGTCATGTGATTCCCGCAAAAGGGAATCACATGACCCTAGGAAACTACAATTGTCGTAAATACGAACCAGTTGCCAAACAGCTAAGTTTTGATCATGTGACCAAGGGGATGCTGCAATGGTTGTAAGTGTGAAAAACGGTCGTAAGTCACTTTTTTCAATGCTGTTGTAATTCTGAATGGTCACTAAATGAACTGTTGTAAATTGAGCACATGATCCTGAGATGCTGCATAAATGCATGCCGGTTGCCAAATCAGTGTAATTCAACCTTCACATGTGGAGAGCACTAACACTTAGACTTATATACCGCTTCACAGTGTTTGTAGGTTTACAGAGTCAGCATATTTGCCCCCCCCCCCCCCAAACAATCTGGGTTCTCATTTTACCTACTTCGGAAGGATGGAAAGCTGAGTCAGCCTTGAGCTGTCAGTCCCAAAGGTGCTTTTTCAAGAGGCAATTTTTTTTTTTTAAAATTTGATTTATATGCCGCCCTTCTCCGGAGACTCAGGGCGGCTTACAATGCGTTAAGCAATAGCCTTCATACTTTTGTATATTTATACAAAGTCAGCTTATTGCCCCCACAAACTGGGTCCTCATTTCACCTGCCTTAGAAAGGATGGAAGGCTGAGTCAACCTTGAGCCTGGTGAGATTTGAACTCGCAGTAATTGCAGGCAGCTGGTCTTAATAACAGGGTGCTTACTTAGACCACTGTACTATCAAGGCAATTGGACTTTCTGGTTTTTCTTTGAAGATGTTTCGCTTCTCATTCAAGAAGCTTCTTCAGCTCTGAAGAAGTTTCTTGGATGAGAAGAGAAATTCTGCAGCAAGAATAGCCTACGCCCAATATTGGAAAGGAAAGGATACACCACCAGAGGAACATATTACTCAGAAAGTTCTAGAATGTGCCGAAATGAACAAATTAATGTTAGAATTAAATGAGAAAGAAGACTCAGAATATTATACGGTGTGGGATGATTGGTACAGGTGGATTGATAACCGAATAAAGAATAGATAAAAGTTAAAATACAAATTTTAAGATGCATATAGGAATTTAGAATGATGAAATGTAAAGGAAGAATCAATCTAACTTGTGTAGAAAAATAACACTATCTGACTGATTGTATTGTATTGTATTATAATAAATTTCAATTAAAAATTTAAAAAGAGAAGAGAGAAGAGAAATGTCTTCAAAGAAAAACCAGAAAGTCCAGTTGCCTCTTTAAAAAGCACCTTTGGGACAACCAGGACCTGGATGACTTAGGATCTCCATAGACACTTAAGCTGTCAGGATCAAACTCCTGGTAGTCGGCAGAATTAGCTTGCAATACAGGTAATCCTCAACTTACAACAGTTCACTTAGTGGCCGTTCAAAGTTACAATGGCACTCAAAAAAGTGACTTATGACCATTTTCGCACTTACAACCTTTGTAGCATCCCCATGATCATGTACGCTTGGCAACTGGCTCATACTTATGACCATTGCTGTTTCTCAAGGTCATGTGATCATCTTTTGCAACCTTTTGACAAGCAAAATCAATGAGGAAGCCAGATTGACTTAGGAACCATGTTACCAACTTAAATCAACTGCCGTGATTCACTTAACAGTGGTGGCAACAGGAATGGAATCCAGCAGGTTCTGACAGGTTCTGGAGAACCGGTAGTGGAAAGTTTGACTAGTTTGGAGAACCGGCAAATACCACCTCTGGCTGGCCCCAGAGTCAGGTGGGAATGGAGATTTTGCATGCCATGCCCACCAAGCCATGCCCACCAAGCCACGCCCACAGAACCAGTAGTAAAAAAATTTGGATTTCACCACTGGTGGCAAGAAAGGTTGTAAAAGGGGGCAAAATTCACTTAACAAATGTCTCAACAACATAAATTTTGGGCTCAATTATCAAGGACTTACCTGTACACCCTGCCAACTTCATTTTAGCTTTGGTAGGTGATATAACACAATTCGGGTATGTGTCTGCAGTTCCTTGCCCTTGGACCTGCAGGCTGGGACTGATGGGAGTTGTAGTCTCAAGCACGCAGGGAGCAAAGTTGACTTATTTCTGAATTGCAAAATGCTGGGGAAAAGAGAAGCAGCTACTCATTGATTCATATCTTTTCCGTTTCACGGCCAACTGAAATCCAGCTGTCGGTTCCCATCTTCTATCGAGCCGAAGCCTCTCTTTGTCATGGATGCCTTGGTTACTTCCCTATTGATTACTGCATTGTGCTCTCCATTGGGGCTACTTTTCAGGACCATCTGGAAACTTCATTTGGTCCAGAAAGCCATCAGTGGCACCAAACGGTCGGCCCATGTACCATTCCTCCTTTCGGAACTACACCGGTTACCAGTTTGCTTCTGGGTGCAGTTCAAGGTGCTGATCGTCTTCTTGAAAGCGTTTTGTGGATCAGAACCTGGACATGGGACTGCCTTCTCTCAGTGGTATCGGTTCTTCCTTTTGTGTTCTGCATGGCCAGGGGACCGACAGCACTGAACGAAGGATCTGTGTCCTTGTGCTACAGCCCTTGCAGCACCCCCGTGAGTCAAGTGATCAAAATTTGGACAGATGGCAATTCGGCTGCACTTTTCTCCACAGGAGATACCGTATTTTTTGGAGTATAGGACACACAATGGAATGGAATGGAATGGAATGGAATGGAATGGAATGGAATGGAATGGAATGGAATGGAATGGAATAGAATAGAATAGAATAGAATAGAATAGAATAGAATAGAATAGAATAGAATAGAATAGAATAGAATAGAATAGAATTTTTATTGGCCAAGTGTGATTGGTGCCATCTTGGATGTAGTCAAGATGCACTTTAGTTTTTGGGGAGGAAAATAAGATAAAAGCTGATTGGCAGGTGGATCGGCCTCCTGGAATACCCCCAATCAGCTGTTCCCAGAGGCGAATTATAGCAACAGGTTCCTTGGTTGTGAGCTCTGCCTTGCTTTTTTTTTTTTTTTTGCTTTTTTTTTTTTTTGCCTCTGAAACTTCTGAAACTTTGTTTCAGGAAAAACTTTTTTTCTTGCCTCTGAAAGCCTCCGAAACAGAGCTTCAGAAAAAAAAGCCTCTGAAGCTCTGTTTGGGGGCTTCGTTTCTGAAGCTTGCGCTTCTGATGCTTTTTTCAGCCTCTGAAACCTCCATTTGAGAAACTGGGCGGGGCTACATTCGGAGTATTAGACGCACCCAGATTTTCACCCTTTTTTGTGGCGGGGAAAGTTGTGTCTTATACTCTGAAAAATGCGGTACTTCAATTCACCCTACCTGCCTGCTATGCCCTTTTGATCCCGTGCTGACCTGCACTCCACTGTCCCAGCTGACCTTTGCCATCTTCTTCCTCTTCCTGCTGACCAGGTGTTACCTGGCTGGCCTGGCCCTTCCCGCCAAGAAGTTCCTTTGTGTAAAGTTGGCCAAGGCAAACCTTTTTGCGTTGTGCTGCTGGACAGGCTGGGCTGGGCCTTCCTGGCATGCTGTAGATGTGGGGCTGCTTTTTTCTTACCTGTCTATGCAGATTCTCAACCATCCAGGCCCACGGCTGTCCCAGAGGTGTTTTTTTTAAAAAAGGCAACTGGACTTCGTCTTTCCTTGAAGACGTTTCGCTTCCCATCCAAGAAGCTTCTGAAGAACTGAAGAAGCTTCTTGGATGAGAAGGGGAACGTTTTCAAGGAACAAAGCTAAACAAGTCCAGTTGCTTTTGGAAAAGTACCTTTAGGACTTTTTTCTTGGGTTGGCCCAGGCTGAAGCTGGGCTTCCTGGCGCACCGCAAGAAGTAGAAGAAGAAAGGAAGCAAGGGGGGGGAGGGGAGAAGGTATTTATTTATTTTATTTATTTATTTTATTAGGCTTATATGCCGCCCTATCTCCAACGGACTCAGGGCGGCTCACAACAATAAAACCACAATCCATAATGCAAGTTAAAATGCCTAATTAAATCAGATACAATTAAAACCCGTAAAAACGGTAAACGGATAGGGGAAGCTGGAGGCAGTCGCTTACTTTACTGAGGCACAGAACTGATTGGGGTATTATGGAGGTCAGATTTCAATTAATCTGGGAGTTATTAGATCGAAGAATATTGTTTTCATGTGAAGTAAACAGCAGGTAGTTTTCCCCATTGTAGTGCTAGAAAATTCAGGATCTTCCAGTGAAATGGTCCAGAGTTTTGAGAGAAACCCCCCCCCACTCTCACAGATGGTCCAGAAAGTTACCATAGTAGTTGATGGTATAAAGACCACAATGAGGTCAATAAGAGCAAAGAGGGATGCATTTCCCCCGTCCTTCTCTTCCCAGAGGTCATCTAAAAACGCAACCAGTGCTGTTTCCCTCTCATATCTTGGCCTGAAACCCAACCTGAAAAGGGCCCACATAATACAGAATAGCAGAGTTGGAAGGGACCTTGGAGATCTTCTAGTCCACCCCCTGCTCAAGCAGGAGACCCCGCACCCCATCCCATTCTGACAAATGGCTGTCCAGTCTCTTCTTTAACATCTCCAGTGAGGTGGAACACTCCCATCTTGTGAAGGCAAAGCCATTCCACGGATTAAGTGTCAATAGTAACAATGTTGTATAGCCTTTGTATCTTAGGAA